AAACAAAAGAGTTTCCAGACAGAGGCGCAGTCTGTTCGGGGACAAACAAGGTGTTGGTCTGTCGGTCTGGAGTGGGAAAGGGGGGGACAGCTGCGCTGAGCAGGCCTGAGGGGGGCCGTGGGCTTGGGGTCAGCCATGGGCGGGTGCCCCATGTCCTCTGCCCCCCAGTTCGGGTTCTCCTCACCCCTGCAGGGCGCACGCCAAGCGCAGGGAGCACCTCACCCTGCACGGGGTAAGGATGACTCCTGGAGACGCTGCCTCATCCCATCAGCTGAGCAGGCGGCTGGGCCAGGAAAGGGGAGAGAGGGGGGGGTCGGGGCCTGAGAACAGGGGAAGTCAGCGTGAGCCCTGGCGAGCGGCCGGCTGCAGAGCGGGAAAGCAGGCTCTGTCGCAGACACCTTGACCGTCTGCTCGTCTTCTCTTTCCTCTGCTCTGGAGGCGGGCCCCTCACCGCAGGGTGTGCAGGCAGCCCACTGACAGGAGCCTGGGTGAGGAGGAGCAGGGGGTCTGGAAGGACCCCCAGCAGCTTTCTGGGCAGAGAGGAGGGGGACGGCCTGGAGGGGCTGATAGGAAGCTGGTCCGGAGAAGGAAGAAGAGGAAGTCTTACCCCGAGGCAGTGTGCCCTCGGGTCCTCTGGAGAGAAGGAGAAAATGCACCCAGCCCCAGCCCCAGCCCCAGCCCCAGCCCCACCCCGAATGCAGGCGCCATGCCTGCCACTCAGATACCACTTCACGCCTCAGCATTGGGCAAGTCCTTGGCCAAAACAGAGTGTTCTCTTGAGAAAACGGACTCCCGGCTTCTGAGGAAAATTTCCCAAGACAGAGGCCCAGAACACTCGGAAAGTTATCCATACACTCTTTCCGTTGTCCATGTACTTTAACGAGAAAACCTCTTTCAGGGCATTTTCTGATCCCCTTGCGGTTCTTCCCTTTGTGGGGTACCACGGTGTTTCCGGGAAGAAATGAGTCTGTGGGGACTGGTGAAGGCCAAGCACAAGGCTGAGCACCTGCCAGGCCACTGCCCGGCAGACCCCCACAGCAGGGGAGCGGGTCGTTCACCCCATCACCCAGGACAGCGGGCGCAGCAGACCCTAAGCTCAGTGGGGATCCAAGCCCAACCTGGGCTCCTCCCACCTGGGCAGTCTGCCGCCCACGGACTTAGAAAGATTCAGTGTCTGAAGACCTTGTCCCTGACCACCACGGGGTCCAGAGAAGCAGGGCAGGTTTCCAGACGGCCGAGCTGTCAGCCGGGTAGAACAGAGCGTGAGTAACGACCACCATGTGGATGAGGGATTGGGGGTGGCGGGGGGGAGGAGGCAAACAATGTGACCTTGATCGATGGCCTTGGAAAAGCTCTCCACCCTGCTGGGCCTCAGTTTCCTCCTTTGGCCAACAGGGTGGTTGGAGTAAAGATCGCAGAGGTCGCCCCTGCCCCTGGCGTCCTTTGAATGTGGGGTGTTCCTGGAGATTCCGTCACTCGCTTCTCTCGTTCAGCATCTCGGGCCCACAGGGCACAGGCCTGCCCTTGCTGCTCAACCTCACTGACACGAGAGGGCCTTAAAAATACTGAACATCGCCCTGGGCGGTGTTCTCAGTGGTTAGACCGTCAGCCCGAGGACTGAAGTGGATTTGATTCCTGGTCAAGGACACGTACCTAGGTTGCGGATTCAATCCCCGGCCCAGGCCAAGGTCCTGCGGGAGGCAGCCAATCAATGTCTCTGTCACATCAATGTCTCTCTCTCTCTGTCCCTTGCTTTCACTCAATCTAAAAAAACCAGTGGAAAGGTGCCCTTGGGTGAGGATTAACAAAAACACAAAAGACTGAGCACTGTGCCAGGCGGAGTGGGGGCAAGCATTAACGTGTCGAGTGTCCAAGATATTAGGATCTCGGCAGAGGTGACAGTCACACGACCTGTGAACATGCTAAATACCACGGAACCGTACAGGTTAGAATGGGTAATGTCACGTAGATCTCACCTCCATCTTCAACACTGAATCATGCCACTCTCTCTTAAAATCCTTGCACAGTTCCTCCTGTAGAGTGAAGGCCAGAAGTGTTCGCCTGAATGAAAAGGCCTGTGAACACGGCCGGCCTGGCCTCTCTCTGCTCCCTCAGCTCCAGACGCAGACAGCTGGGCAGCTCCCACCCTCTGGGGCCCCCCCTCCTCCCCTCCCCCACTCTAGCCCAGGCCACCCAAACCTCTTCCCTCACAAATCCCTGGCTGTCTCCTCATTCTTCCAAACTAACCCCTCGGGAAAGCCTTCCTGCCCCCCACCACCAGGGGTAAGAGGCCCCCGGGCTCCCTGCTGTCATGGAGTCCTTACCCTGGAGCAGAAAGACCTGCTGATGTGCTGGCTCCCAGCCCCGTCCCACAGAACTCCCTGTCACCATGCAAATGTTTTCTATTTGCACGATCTAATCGGGTAGCCCCCAGCCACCTGTGGCTTCTGAGCCCTCGAAGTGGTTAAAATGACTAAGAAACCGAGTTTGAGTTTAAACAGTCCTGTGTGGCTACTGGCACCGATTTCTGGGCTCCACCCCAGAGTTCCTGACTCGGCAGGTCTGGGGCGAGGCCCTAGGATGTGCCAACAAGTTCTCAGGTGGTGCCAATGCTGCTGGTCCCGAGACCATGCCTTGATGAACTTCAGGTTGGCAGCCGGAAGTTCGAAACTTGAGTGGCTCTAGAACCAAGAGGGTCTAGATGAGGATATTCTACACTGCTCGCCTCTGAGTGTGGCTCTGGACTAGGGGCATCCGCGTCACCGAGGAGCTCACTGGAGATGTACAACATCTCCATCGCCATCCCAGACCCACTGGGTGGGAACCGAGCCTTCGCAGGATCCCCAGGGGACTGTCTGCACATACGAGTCTGAGAAACACTAGTCCAGACTGCCATCCCTTCAAGCCAGGGACTTTGTCAATCTTTGTGTCCCCAGCACTGAGTTGCTGGTCCATAACAGGTGCTCAACAAATAGAAGGAAAAGAGAGATGTAGGTTGCCCAGCTAGTGATTATGTTTCTCCCAGGGTAAGGTTCAAAGAATGAGCCCCAGCCCACATCCTTAAACTGGAGTCACTATTTCAAGACTGCCTCATTGCGAGGGAAGGGACGATGAGGCGGGTCCTCAGATAGGAGACCAGAGGTCAACTTTGGGGGAACAGAGAGCTCCCCACAGAGGAGCCACTTACTGAGAGACCCTGCTCCCCTCATCCTTGGTTCCCATGCTTCCTGGCTTTTTTACCCATGGCTTCTCCAGGCCTTCCAACTAAGCTGCAAGAGGCAGCCTGAGGTGTCCCAGCTACAGAGAGGACAAAGTGTAATCAGCTAATGCAAATAACCACGCCCAGCTCACACCTGTTACTGTTGCATGCACCAAACACATTTCCACCCTCCTCCAGTTTCGGCATCTTTGCCTGGTCCAGCTCTCCATGAACCAGAACTAAATTACTGCCTTCTTGCACTGGAGAGAACCGGAGAGATCGACAGAGAGGGAAACACCAACCCTGACACCAAGGTGGCTGCTCACCGTGCAGGAAGGGAGGTCGCACCCACTGCCCTGACTGCTAACCCAGCTCTCCTGACACGAGAGGAGGCCACAGCCCCGGCAGCCACTCCATCACAAAGTTCTCTCGGAATCCGAAGCAGGAACACCAGGTCAAAGTTGACACATGACAAGGATTGATCAGCACGTCCCTCTCACCCCAGCCATGAGGACCACACAGGTTCCCGTCGGCGGGAGCTACAAATATTCTGCCAGACTCATATGAAAGGGATTTCCACCCTTTGACCTGGAGGGGGGGGGGGGGCACGGCCCACGGCTGAGCTGAACAGCACGAAACCCCAGGCCCAGGGGTGATGTCCCCACATCCACCTCTGAACCCCTTGGATAGAAGCACCTTCCAAAAAAACGTATTTCCATTTTTTCAGATATAAATACCCGTTTGTTGTGGGAAAAAATCGCACTTCAACCCTCCCTCTAACACCCAGAGGCAACTTCTGCTACTTTTCTGTTACCTTTTGTTGCCTCTTTTTCCCCAGAATACCTAGGTTTATTTTCACACAATAAACGTATCCTTTACATATTGTTTTGCAACCTGCTTTGTTCCCTGACAAGTATTGAATGTACATGTTTCCAGGTCAATGCTGTGCAGCATTTCAGGGGTTCCTTCGTATCTCTTTAAATGGATGCATCATCATTTCTTTAACACAATTTCTTTCTATTGCTGGACACCTGGGTTGTGTCCAACTATTTTTACATACATCATTTTACATACATTATTGTGCACTCGGCTACTTGTCTCTTTAGAACGAGTTCTAGAGGAGAAACGGGAGCATCCACAGGCCTGCGCGTTTTTCAAACGGTCCCCGCACAGCTGCTCCCTCAGGAGTACAGTCCTTGTGAGGACAGCTTCCAGAGCAGGTGGCGCCGAGCCGGGCGCTGGAGGATGTTTAGACAGGGCAGGGCGGTGCGAGATCCCCACTTTAACTTCGCCGCGAGCCTGGCTGCCTCCTCAGACGCGGCGCGGCCGTGGGGAGGTTGCCTGGCCTCTCTGGGCCTCCCTCTGCACGTGGAAATGAACCATCCTTCCATGACGGTAAGGGTTAGAGACCATGGACACACAAACCCTCCGTAGCCGGGCACGAAATGTTTCTTGAGCGAGTGAATGAAAGGTTGGGTGGATGCAGGGATGACTTCTCAAGAAGGAAAGAAAGACGGAAAGAGCCTGAGGAAGCAGCGTGGAAGAATGGGGAGGCGGATGTGGGGAGGCCCGGGGGCTGGCTGGTCAGGAGGGCTGGGCCCCTGAGAGTCTAGGGGGAAAGCGGAGATGAAGATGCTCCGGGTGGAACAGAAACGCTCTCTGTCCCTAGTAGTGACAGGTGAGGAACTGGTCCCTGCTCCACAGTGACGCCCTAAGGCCTGGCCAGGAGTTGGTCCCTCCCGAGTCAGAACCCTACGTCCCACCCACAGTGGGACCCACCGACCCCAGCTGAGCCCCCTACCTCGATGAGCTTGCCACAGTCCAGCGAAGGGACCCACGCTGCCCGCCAGCTCACACTTCTGAGCCCACGGGCCGTTGTCTCCTAGAAGCCAAAAGAAGCAACATGCAAAGGTCAACAGGCTGGGGGCGCTTTGGCTGATTCTCTCTGGTCCTACGTCCCTGGGCACAGCAGGGACTGGGTACAAGAGGGCCCGGAAAATCAAACCTCCCTGCCCCGGAAGGGCTCCCCTCCTGATGAAGCCCTGCTGGGCTTGCGGAGGGGTGGCTGTCCTGCCCCCTAGCCAGTCCCCTGAGGCTCTTGCCTTGTGGACGTGTATGTGCCTGTTGTGTAGCTTTAGCAACTCACTGGCACTGTCGTCAGCCCAGCGACTGCTTCCTGAGCACCTACGATGTGCCCAGGGCTCACAGACCCCACCTGGTGACCCTCCTACATGCTGTGGACTAGACTGCATGGTTAGCTTAACTTTGCAGGTGAAGGAACCCAGGCTCGGAGGAAGTAACTTTCTCAGCAGAAGCACAGAGATTCAAACCGGGTGCCTGTGTGACCCACGGGCAGTGCTTTGAACCACTGCCCCCGTCCTGAGACCCACGAGGCCCAGGTGGGCCCTCTAAACAGCTCGCCCGTTCAGTTCCACTCGGCCAAGAGACGTGGCCGGGTGATCTGGTGACCAGTGGCAACCAGAGTCCCTGGGACTGGGAAGAGAGGGAAGAGGGGCAGTCTGAGGACTACATAGGGTCACAGTGTCAGTCACTCACTAACCATTCAGAGCAGTGCCCAGATGGCCCTGATCCATACTGAAGGGGCCAGCAGACACCCGCTCTCTCTGTGCAAACCTTTCCAGGGGCTCGGCCTTGGAGGCCCCAGATGCACAGGCACTCAGCATTCCCATCAACCAACACTAGTGGGGCCCCAAGTTCAGAGCAAGCCCCCAGCCGGTTAAAGATGATCCCTTGACCAGGCTCAGGTCCGGGGTACCCCTGCAGAGTTAGCCATCGGATCTCAGTTAGGTGCCGGGGTTTAGCACTTTACCTGTAAACCAGAGCAACGTATTTTCTCGTGCCGTGTGGTCCACTTCCTCTTTGATCTGGCCCACGAGGCTGTCCATCTCGCGGAGGCCCGCAGCATAGGGCGCGCGGCCCCCCGGGTATGCTGACAGCTGGGTCCTGGTTAGGGGCACGTGCATGTGGGCCAGGCCCACGTAGAGCAGGAACGGTCTTCTGCTGGTGCTGGAACGGAAGAGGCAAGGGATCACTCTCCAAAGGCTCTCTCCCCACCTCAGAGCAAACCTCCAGAACGCCCCACGTGCTCAGGGAGTACCCGTCTTTCTGGAACCTTCCTAGGATGTGTGGAGATAATCTGGTCAGCCCATTCAGACCGAGAGTCGTTGCAATAATGGCCACTGTCCTTTAACACTGGCCGAGAGCCTAGTGAGTGGGACTCACACTAGGTTCCCTCTCATGATCGACCCAAGCTCCGTGTCGCAGGCGAAGCATCAGACAGAGACTTGGGGAGACGAAAGAACCATCCAAGGCCACACACTGGTGAGGAACCGAGTCTGGATTCCTACGCACATCTGGCTGAGAGCAAAGCCCTTGCTCTCAACTGCTGCATTCTCGAGTTCAACGCCCTTGCTCTCAACTGCTGCATTCTCGAGTTCAACGCAAATACGTTTTCAAATGTATCTGTTTTTTTGCAGCACCCAGGCCACGTCCGTTCCCAGACACGGCCCTTTCTAAGAGATGAATGGATGACTCGCGTTGACCTCTGGGAACACCAAACATGCACACGACTGCCCGGAACATGACGGTAGTTAGAGACCCGGGTGCTCGGCCACCCCTCTCCAACCCCGAGAATTCCTATGGGGGCGTGTCGGGGGCCAGGGTGGCCTCTGCCTCCTGTCCGCCTCCCACCCCCTTTCCCAGGCGAGGGGCAGGATGAAAGGCAGCTGCAGGACCCCAGCCCTTCCCCTGCGGCAGCAGCAAGAACCCTCCTGGAGCTCCCTATGAGGGACCCAGGGTGAGGGCGGAGCTCAGTCAGGTTCATGCCACGTGCTGAGAGATTGGCTCTTCTCACCCCAGTTCACCGAGAGATCTGACTTGCAAACTGGCCCCCGTGTTCTCAGCTTACCCTAATTCACAGCACCCCACATCAAGTTCTCCAAGTGCCCTCAGCTCTGCATCAATCCAAGCCCTGGAGAGTCCCCCACATCCAACTCCCAGGGCCCCCTACCTGGGGACCCAGCTCTCTTTCACAGACTTAAAACCCGGGACCCAAGCCCCAGACCCGGGCCTGCCCGTCCCGTCAGTCAGCGGTTTCTCAGCAGCATTTCTGCAGCTGTGTTGTCCGGCGCAGTCGTCACGAGTCCCGTGTGGCTGTTTAGATCTCAATCCGTGAACACTGAACAGAACGAACTCCCTGTCACATGCTGCAACACAGACGACGTCTCCCAGAAGACGGCACGCCACCTGAAATAAGCCAGTCACCGAAGGACAAAGCTTGCTGGCCCCACTTCGAGGAGGTCCCTGGAGGGGAGAGACAGAAGGTGGAGTTGGGTGGCCAGGGACCGGAGGGAAGTGAAGATGCGGAGTTGGTGTTTCATGGGGACAGTTCAGTGGGGAAGACGAAGAAGTTCTGGAGACGGACGGTGGTGACGGTCGTAGAACAGTGTGAATGTTCTTAAAGCCACAGAACTGAACACTTAGGAAGGTGAATTTCACATGTGTTTGACCACTACTTCTCTACCAACTCAGGTCTTCAGTTGCCCTACCCATGTTTCACCTGCCCGGCAGTCACAGGGGGCTCCTGGCACCATCTGGGGCAGCAGAGACGGAGCCCACTCCCGTCCTCACACGGTTCCGTTTACGGCCCTGATGTAGACGGCCCGGCATCTGCTCTCCCGAGGGCGACCCTGGGCAGCTGTGCAGGTCGTGTCCTGCATGAGCACAGCCTGCCGAGCAAGTGAACGGGGCTGAGCTCCCCTCACCATCCCTGGCCCAGCAGGCGCCCTGGCGCGGATCAGCACTCGCCCAGAGGGTGCCTCCTGCTAATCTGCAGGTAGATGCCCCACTGCAGTGGCCGGAACACCTGGCTCCAAGCTCAGGAATTCTGCACGTTTTAAACGTGACCGACATCTAAAATTAAATGAAATCAGCTCGCCTGGCTGGTGTGGCTCACACCAAGAGGTGGCCTGTCCAATTCCTGGTCAGGGCATGTGCTCAGGTTGTGGGCCTGATCCCCAGTGAGGGGCATGCAGGAGGCAGCCAATCGATGTTCTCTTTCATCCATATTTCTATCTTTCTCTCCCTCTCCCATCCTCTCTCTCTAAAAATCAATAAGGTAAAAAAAATATTTTTTAAAAAAACACCTCATTCTTTATATATATATACGTTTTTTAAAATTGATTTTTTAGAGAGAGAGGAAGAGAGAGATAGAAACATCAATCGGCTGCCTCCTGCATGCCCCCTGCTGGGGATCCAGCCCACCACCTGGGCATGTGCCCTGACTGGAATCAAACCAGGACCTCTCAGTCCATGGGTCCACACTCAATCCACTGAGCCACACTGGCCGGGCAAAACACCTCATTCTTCAAGTCCAGCTCAAATGTCACCAACACTCCGCTGATTGCAGCTCATGGACGGCTTCCCCCTCCTTACTCCTGTGTCCCCCTGCCCCTCACAGCATTGATCAGCACTGATAAAATGCCCTTGCTGAAGTCCACCTTGTGGGGATCGGGCCCACAACCTGGGCATGTGCCCTGACCGGGAATCGAACTGGCGACCTCTTGGTGCATGGGTCGATGCTCAACCACTGAGCCACGCCAGCCGGGCGAGCTGATGTTTCCCCACCAGCCTGGGAGCTACTCCAAAGCAAGGGCAGGTCTAGCTCACGCTGTGCGCCTAGCACAGCCTCAGCACCTTCGGGGTCAGAGCAGCACCGCGCCCACTATTCACTCACCGGTGACTATTTATTAAGTGCTCCAGACAGGCCGCTGGGACCACAGACAGAGTGATAAACATGAGAGACATGATTTCCACCTTCTTGGAGCTTAACACGCAACTGGAAACAGGCGGAAAAAATGCAAGTAAAAAGTTAGAGAATGATTTACAAATGAGAGGCGTGATGGAGGCGAAATACAGGGTGCCGTGCGAGGGCCTCACCGGGAACCAGCCTGGGTTTGGGGGGTGTCCCGAGACGGCGAGGCCTGGTGGCCCTGCAGGGCAGACAGAGCAGCACTGGGAGACGCTGTGGCAGGAAGGCCTGAGGTCTCTGGCTGCTCATTCGTTCGTTCATTTCCTCCCCGTGATTCACCCAAATACTCAAACAGGAGAAAGAGGAAAGAGGGGATCGGGCAGAATGACCTTGGAGCTGGACCGGAGCCCTGAAGAGGGTGGCACGGTGGGGGGCGCTAGTGGGGAGCTGAGTGGGAGAAAGATGAGGGCAGCACCACAGGGGGAGACACAGACCCAACCCTGAGGGAGAGACCTCCGGGCGCGCCCAGCCAGTAGGGGGGGAATCAAGACCTGGATGGGGTCCTAGGCTCCGCCCAGGAAGGCGGGGCGTGTTCTTCACCTGTGCACCTCCAGGACCCACTGCCAAGTGGTACATATTCTGGGATCTTGACCATTCACTCTGATTTCAAATATGCTTACGACTCCTCCTAGCTGTGCCCGATACTGTCGTGCGGGTCAAGCCCTTCCCCCCGCAGTTAGCTTCAGTGCCCAGTCCCAGACCCTGACAGAGCAGGGGCCCCACCACCTGCTCCTTCCCTTTTTGTCAACTCAGAGCTTCACCTGCTGCTTTAGAAAAACCAAGCCAAGGATTAGCTTTCAGCATTGCGGCTAGATGAACGGTCTGAATTCAAGTAAAGATCCAAGAAAAACTTTCGAAGAAGTCCTAGGGCTGGCCCCTCGCCGAGGAGAACAGGACCCCACACTCTGGGGCCCCTGGCCATTCTGACACACAGGTCCTGGTGAGGGGAGGGGCCACAGGGGGAGGGGAGGGGCGGGGTGGGCACAGAAGAGGGAGGAGCACAGGCTTGGGGGCCTTTCCTGCTGATGTTCTAAAAATCACGATGGATCAGCAAGTCAAGTCCTAAAAATCAGCATGCCTGGGGGGTGTTTTCTGTTCCGTTAAAAGCCAATAGGATTCATGTGATTTTTTTCACTTAATAACTGAAGAATAAATTAGCAAACTCTTCACCTTTTTCACGATAAGTAGCATGTTTGTTGATCTGTGTGTCTTTTAACTGATTCATGAACTGGTGACAAACGGGATCACACGCTCTTCAGAGCAAGTGGTGCACCGACCCTAGTCCCCGGCCAGCTGCGACCCTCCGCCTGAGAAAGCAGGAGAGGCCAGTCTACCCCCACCCCCAGCCAGGAAGCCTCCACCTGTGACAGGCCACAGGGCCCGAACAGTCTCAGGGTTCCAGGGAGCACAGAGATGCCCACCCTCCAGAAGGGAGGAGGGTCTTTCGCCTTTTCCTGGGGCCATCGGAACAAAAGGCAGAGTTTCTCAAAGCCCCGAGAAACTGGTTAGCCGCAATCTCTGCAGCCCCAAGGGGCTGCTCTAGAGACTTAGGCCTGAAGTAGGTTCTATTATCAAGAAAACGGTAAGTGGTCCGGCCAGTGTGGCTCAGTGGTTGAACATCAACCCATGCACCAACCAAGAGGTCACCAGCTCGATTCCCCGTCAGGGCACATGCCCAGGTTGTGGGCCCGATCCCCAGTGGGGGCATGCAGGAGGGGGCTGATCGATGTTCTCTCTCATCGATGTTTCTATCTCTCTCTCCCTCTCCCTTCCCCTCTCTCTAAAACCAATAAAGAAAAAAAATGTTTTTAAATAAAAAAAAGAAAACGGTCAAAGGATCTACTACATGGCTGCCTGTGCCCTCCCTCCTGCCCTTCTCTCTAGAAAAGTCCAACAAGGTGCGAGGGGCTGGGAGATCCTCGCACACTCGGGGAGCTGGGCGGCCAGTTATCCACAGGTGGAGTCCGTCGTGACCCGCACAGGTGGCAAGGCACGCGGCACGTTTTCTCCTGCCCACTTAGCCAGGCTGTGGGAACTCTTCGCGGACTCCTGGAGACATTCCCTGCCCGGGGGGAGTCTGCAGTCTTGGGAGAGAGATGAGAGGAACACACACACCGGCCATTAGAAGGACAGCGCCGGGGGCTGGGGAGGGTCAGGACAAGGGCAGGGAGACAGTGTGCGTGCACATGGGCAACGTTGGCACCCCTCAGTCTGTGTCTGTGCCCCCACGGTGAGTGTGCGCTGCTGGGAAAACCCCCTCTCTGCCCTGGCCGGACCGAGGCTGCAAAGTAGCAGCCCTCACACACACACCCCTTGCTGGAGACACACTGTGCTCCGGTTCTGCTGTTCCGCATTTCTGTTATTTTTAATGCATTGTTTCTAACACTCAAAGATCAGGAGATGTTGCAGAAGGGCCTGGCACCCCATCTACCTTGTGAAATGGGAAACTCTGGCCATCCAGGCTCCTGATCTCACGAAGAAGCAACGGGCGCTGGAGCCAGGCAGTGGCTGCCCCCTTAGGTGGGAACCACAGGCACCACCCTCCCCTGACGCCGGGCAGTCAGCCTGCCTCCTCCTTGAAGGCTGCCTCCCTGGGCCCAGCAGATGCTGGCATGTGTAAGCCCTGTGGGTGACACTGAATACCGGCCCCCAAAGACATCCAGGGTGTGAGCCCTGGAATCTGTGTCGCCTTGCTTGGCAAAAGGGACAATGAACAAAGATCTTGAGGTGGGACGAGTCTCCTGGATTCTCCTGGTAGACCCCAAATGGAATCACAGGTGTCCTTACAGAGGAGAGATGCTGGAGGGATATCCGACTACAGCGAAGGAGAAGGCAAAGGGACAGCAGCAATCGAGATCAGAGTGATGTGGCCACAAGCCAAGGACGCCAGCAGCCACCAGAAGCTGCCAGGGTCAAGGAAGATTTCGCCCTGGAGCCTCGGAAGCAAACAGCCCTGAAGCCAGGGCGGCGCTAGCCCCCAAGACACTTCGGACGCCTGGCCTCCAGGCCCACGGGAGAACAGATTCTGTCTGTGACAGGAGCAGTAAGAAAGGAAGACACCCTGCTAGCTGAGGAACTCGAGGAATGCCTGGGGTGCCCAGGAGGCGCTGCTCAGACCCTAGACCCTGCCTGAGGAGCAGAGGACAAGCGAGGCCAACGGTAGAGCAGGATCTCGGCAGGAGCTCGGGGACCCCCAGGAAGAGGAGCATCTGCCAGGCCCGGGGAACAGGGGAGTCAGCCAGGCTTTGCGGAGCGCTGAGCGAGGCCAGGGCGCGTGGCGGCGGGGGCGGGGTGGCGGGGCCCAGGCTGCTCACCTGGCCTGCTGGATGAACTGCGTGGCCTTCTCCGCGTACCTCCGCGCCAGGCCGCTCAGGTTCACCGGCTGCTCCACGATGCGCAGGTTCTCGTACAGAGGAAGAGCCACGTCCAAGTAACAGTTCCTGTCGGGGCTCCTGTGTGGAAACCACAGGCAGCAGAGTGTTTGACTCCATGACCTAAGTCGTCACAAGGCAGAACAGGACGCTTTTACGCAGCAAAGCACATAAATACAAAACACTCGGTAGCTGGCGTCAGGGGAGTTGTCCAGCCGGCCAGCTCCTCCGAGTGTAAACCCAATGCAACACCTCCCTGCACGCCCTTGAACAGTTAGGCCTTTGTGAGCTAGAAGCATCACTGGTCCCATTTTCTGGGAGAGGAGCGGAGGGCCAAACAGACTACATTACTCCAGCAGAGTCACGCAGCCCCGTGCCTGGCTTTTCCTGCAGTCCCCCCTAAATGATGACTTGTCCGTGGGGTGCAACAACTTCCTGCGGCGTAGTATCTGACAACAGAACAGATGGCCGGGGACAACTTTATTTTATTTTATTATTTTTGTTGTCGTTAATCCTCACCCAAGGATATTTTCCCATTGATTTTTAGATAGAGTGGAAGGGAGGGAGAGAGAGAAACATCGATGGGAGAGAGAAGCATCAATCAGCTGTCTCCCGCACATGCCCCAACCAGGACCGGGGATCAAACCTGCAACCCAGGTACATGCCCTTGACCGGGAATCAAACCTGCGACCCTTCAGTCCGAGGGCCGATGCTCTAACTGCTGAGCCAAAGAGGCAGGGCAATAATTTTAAAATTTCAAACCATGTTGAGAGAATCTGGAGAAACTTTAGCCATTGGAAAAAAGTGGAGGTCAAACCAATACTATTCTGGAAAAAACCAAACTCAGCCCTTGGTCTTAGGGATCAAACGAACGAGATGCCAGGTGGCTGAGGAACGACTGTGGCCATGACCTTGGGATGTCCCCTCAGCGCCCAGAGCCCGACTGTCCTTATCTGAAGCAGGGGTGGCCTGCGGCCCCTGGCGGAGGTACTGGGGGACTGACTGAGTGAGATCAATGGTGAGTGCTCCGATCAGTATTTCAGAAACTCAGTGAACACTCGAGCGCTCTGTCCTGGCTGACACAGGGAAGTGGGGAAGCTGACCACAGCGCGGAGAGACGGGGGTAACAGGAGGCCTCTCCAGCAGAGACATAGTCCCCATGGTTCCGCGGAGGACTTGAGAAAAAACATCATACCTGTATGCAAACATACCCATTGGGACACTAGGGAGACAAGGTCAGGCTGGGGTACATAATCACCCAGGACCACAAGTTTTTAAAAAGAAAAAAGAGCCCTGGCTGATTTGGCTCAACAGTAGAGTGTCAGCCCAAGGACCAAAGAGTCGCAGGTTCGATTCCAGTCAAGGGCACGTACCTCAGTTGCTGTTCAATCCCCAGCCCTGGGCGGGGTCGTTTGGGAGGCAGCCAATCGATGTGTCTCTCTCACATCGATTTCTCTCTCTCTCTCCCTCCCTCCCTCCCTCCCTCCCTCCCACACTATCTGAAAATCAATGGAAAAATATCCTCGGGTGAGAATTAAAAATAAATAAATTAAAAGAAAAAAGAGCTATCACTTTACGGGGCATCATAGTGCTAATCTCAACATTTGTGTTGAAATTTTTCAGCATTTTATGATGTTGTTACAACAACATCATTGACTCTCTCCCTTCCTCCCACCCAAGCCAGTCCTTTTTTCTATTTGATTTAATGTTCAATTATTTTTATTTGTATTGAATTTATTGGGGTGAGACTGGTTAATAAAATTATATAAGTTTCAGGTATATAATACATCATCTGTTTATTGGGTTATGTGTTCACCACCCCAAGTCGTCTCCTTCCATCACCATTACCTCCCTTTTACCCCCTTCTTCCTCCCCCACCCCGATTTGATTTATCATGGGTTTAAATGAGAGCGGATGACATATGTCATACCTGTTATGGCCACCTGTGACCCCCAGATAAGAAGGGCAGTGAGATGTTCCTCAGCCTCCCTTCTCACACCTTAGTGTACACATGAATCACCTGTCTTGTTAAGTGCAGGCCTCAGGGTGGGGTCTGAATTGCAATTCCGACAGGCGCCCAGGTGACATCCAGGCTGCCGGTCCAGTGGCCACACCTTGAGATGTGAGGATCTAGAGGACATGGGCTCTGGTCTCGGACCCCAGACCGAGTCTCCGTCCCTCCCTCTCATGGCTCCAGGGTGGCCCGGGCACAAGGTACGCTTCCTTCCCTGAACACCCCAGATAAATCCCTGCCTCACACAGCCGATTGCAGGTAAGTAGATTGAGCGCCCAGAAGGTAACTTCTCGATGAATGGCCATTATTATATTAACTGTTGTGCTGGTAATGAGCCAACGAGACTGCTTTCCCCAAGCAGCCGACACACCTGCGACCTTGCAAGTAACCACAGCGTGGTGCGTGCGGCTTCATTACCTGAAGGAGGTTTGTCGCCTTTTTCTGGTAATTAATGCACTGCACGCTCATTACCGAATTTTGAAAAACGCAATGAGAAAGAAGAAAAAGAAAAGAAATCCCTCAGTCCCACAACCAGAGGGAATAACCCACTGTTACCATGTTGCCTTCCCGGGAGTCTCTTGCAAGGGCTATAAAGACATAAATACAGGCCGGTTTGGCTCAGCGGTTAGAGCGTCGGCCTGCGGTCCCGAGAGACCCGGGTTCGGTTCCCGCTAAGGGCATGTACCTTGGTTGCATGTTTGTCCCCAGCCCTGGTTGGGTCGTGCAGGTGGCAGCCGCTCGATGTGTCTCTTTCACATCGATGTTTCTCTCTCTTTCTCTCTCTCTCTCCCCTTCCCATTCTATCTGAACAACAACAAAAAAATGGAAAAATGTCCTCGGGTGAGGATTAAAAAAAAAAAAGATAAAGACATAAATACAGACAGTTACAATGACACTGATGAGGATTTGTTTCCTGCTTTCTTCACTTACTGTTGTCCCGGGAGCATTTCCCCAGCTCACTGGCCATGTTTTGAAACCAGTGCCGCATGGCGTTCCAACGTCGGAGCGCAGGCTTATTTGTAGGGTGCAGAGCGGGGTGAAGCCTGTAAGGAGCCCTGTGCGCTCTCTCTGTCCCTCCGCGTGCCCCGTGTCTGGGCCAGGTGAGTGGCCCAGGACCAAAGCCAGCAGGCAGAGACCATGGCAATACCAGGCTCAGCCACCTCTGAGACCATGGCAATACTAGGCTCTGCTCAGCAGAACTAAACAGGCCAGGGAACCTGGAAAGTTGCCATAAGGAAATTCTGTTGACCTCACCTCTGCTAGAGGTTTCCTTCCCTGTCTTAACTGTCCCCTCTCTCCTACTCCTGATGGGCCACACCCTCGGGACTTCTTGCTCTGGAACCCGCAGCCGATTACCTTGATGCTCGGCCACCCTGTGGGCATGCCGGACAGGGAGGGCGGTCGTAGCCCGGGGTATCTGTGCAGCCCATGTCATGGCTGTACGGGATCCCAAAGTAGTAATCGAAGCCTGGAAGAGAAGCGCTGGTTAGCACCCCGACTTGGCCGCGGCTCCAGGAGCCTGCCTTGTTACACCCAGAACAAAAATTCAATTTTCCACGATTTAATACTGCAGTGCCATTGGGTATGTGATTAAAAGAGGATTTGATGAATATCCCTTTGTCATATGCAGAGAGAACATTTGGCTGGGTTCTGGCTGGAAGACCAGATTTACAAAACATCTTGTGATTAGTTGACCCAGAGTGGGAGGAAGTGGAGAGAATTATTAAACACCTACTATTTGCTGTGCAATTACTGACACATTCAGGAAGTATTTGGTGAAAATCTACTACACACGTGATACTTTAAGGGATAAAAGAATGAATTCGGCCCTTAAAAAAGCTTCCCATTGGAAGGTTTACAGATGAAGCAGTAGGAGGTGGATAGTCAGTAAGCCGACAAGAGTGATCAGAGGAAGACGGAGCCCCTGTGCTGGGGCAGAAATCTCAAGGTGCTTCTAGGAAGAGATGGCATTTCAGGTAGAACTCAGAAGGCTGGCAGGATTGGGCTAGGGAAACCGGGGTGGGGTGGGGGAGGGTGTGAGACCTGAAAACCCTGTGTGGGCTTTTTCCTGAGATTCTTCCCTCCTCCTGTCCCTTCTCCAATCCAAGCTTTAGTGTGAAGTTTCCCACAGGATTTCGCTACCCCTCCCTCGAGTCCCATGTGGCCAGTGTCCCTGGTGAACCCATCGGACAATTTTTACTTCTAATCACACTAGATGTGTCTGGACCTCACCGCCCAGTCAGGACCTAGGCCAGGAGGAACACTGGAGCTCGGGATGGGGAGCCACGGGGCAGACAGAAACCAAGGAGAGACGACAGGACAGGTGCCAGGGGAGAGGGATGTGAGATCCAGGAGGGCCCGGGCACCCCGAATGCACCCAAGTGATGCTAGGAGTGAAGCTATCCTAGCTCAGAGAGACATCCAGAGGAGCAGGATGGCCTAAACAGTACTGTAGTCCTTTTACACGAGGTCTTCATTTTCTGTTTCCCGGTAACAAATCCCCCGAAGAATTCTTACCACGAAAGTTGGGGTGGAAAGAGCTGTGATGCCCAAGGTGCCATTTGCCTGTAGGGAAAGAGAGAGGCTTTCAGAGGATCCCCCTGGGGCTCTCAGCTCTCCATCAGCATCGCCCTTTCCGGGGGACCAGGGGAGAGCGGCTGCAAACACAGCGGGAGAGCCAAGCCTTCTCCGTGGGACCCAGAGGGAGTCCCCAGGGAGACAAGATGCAAGCAAGGATGACTCAGCACCTACACAGTGAAGGGGGAAGACGAGCCGTTGCAAAGGCAGCTGGCTGCGCTCCTTCCCCTCAAGAGGTTTCCGTGCCCACAGCAACCCCACAGAGCTCACTGCACCCTCCACTCTGCCCTCCTGGCTGGGGCCCTGCAAAGGTACAGGTGCATGCCCCCCACAGCCTCAGTCACACCCAGGTCCCACTGGTTTCATGATCTTTTCCTCTGGCCCACACCCACAGCCTGCAATGAACAGGAAGCTGACCCCCACCCCCACTCCTCCACACACACCCCCCCCTGCAGTTCAAGTGCAGAGACACCCACCGGGCCACAAATGAGGAAACAGAGACCTCTGCTCCTCACTCTGTAAACGCCCAGGCCCGGGGAGGGGGGAGGGTCACTGGGGATTGTATGCCAAGAGCTCTGATCATGCTGGAACACTGACCTGCTAATTCCGCTGAGTCAACACCCCAGGGAAATCACCCACAGGCGAAGGGGCACAGAAATGAATGTGGTACAAAGGTATAAACTGCGGGACCCTCGCTACAGGCCTGTTGTCAGCACACCCTCCCACGGGGTGCAAGGAGCGGGATCCCACTGGACCCAGCTCTTGGAGAGTCAGAATAACAAGCACAGGCAGCCTGAGGATGCTGTTGGGACGGCTGGGTTGCCTCCCTCCCTGGAGGGGAGACCAGCAGTGAAGCAAAGCATGAGAACAAGTTGGACCAGACACACCTGTCTGTATCTACCTGCGCCAGGCCAGGCTGAACAAGTCTCGGCTGCCTGACTTTTCTCACCCAGACGGTGGGGGAAATCCTACTCCCAGAAGGCACACCATCCCCTCGTGCAAATAAACACTGAGCCCACGCCTGGTACAGAGCAAATACTACGAGGTGCTTTATTGGAAAGAAAAGAAGGCTGCTGGACAGCAGGGCAGACGCTGCTGCGTGCCTGCCCGACACCCTGTCCGCTCTCCCGCTCGCAGACGGTGGTTTCGCTCGGGGAGGGGGCGGGGCAGAAACCACCGTGATACGCTTGACCCCGTTCCCAGCCTTCCTTGCAAGGAGTGGCCACGTGACCCAGCTCCGCCAATCAGATCTCGGTGCACTTCTGGGGCGGGCGGGGGGGAAGACCTGTGCCCCTGATCAAGGAGAGCGGATGGGGCAGGCCCCGCCTCGCCTCTTGTTCTCCTTCCTTGAAGCCAAGTTATGGTGAAGATGCTGAAGCCTCTCCACCGCAGCCAGGGCGGCGGCAGGAGGACAAACAGAGAAGGACAGCAGAGCAGAAAGAAAGGACGCCTTGGAGCGGCTGAGCCGATGAAAGCCACCCCTCACCTCGGACCCGTGTAGCCCGGCGGGGGCTTGGCCTGACTTACAGCCGAAAGCATTCCTGACTCACAGCGAGGACCCAGGAAAACGCAGACCTGAGCAGGCGAGGGGCAGCACGTTAGGGCTGCACAAACACGAAGAGCCGTGGCCCCAGGGTTACCTATCATCCCGGTGACGTAGCCAGCCTGCTGCAGCACCTCGGCCAAGGTGGTCTCGTTGAGCGGAAGGCCCCCCACAGAGGTCACGGCAAAGTTGTGGGTGACTCCGTTGCGAAGGCCCAGCCGGCCAGTGAGCAGGGAAGCCCGGGAGGGCGAGCAGGTGGAGGCGGCCGCGTGGAAATCCACAAACCTGCACAGAAAGGAAAGTGATGGACATCTCTCCAACCACAGGAAGCCAAACCCCGAGAAAACTCGATTCCCACTCAGTTCCAGGGACTCCAGTGTCACCCAGCCACAGAACAGATAAGGAAAATGAAGCCCAGAGAGGTGATGTGACGAATCCAAGGTCCCACAGGTCATTCCAATTGATGTGACCCAACATGCATAGCTGATCCTCTTTTTCAAAGATTCCATATCTCCTAAGTTGATTTGTAACCCCAAAGTCAATACTTGCTGGCTCTTAAGTGGTTATGCAGAGACATGTGCAGACCTTTGAAAAATCTGAGCCACCCAGTGAACACGTTCCTAGCTGAGGGCTCTCCTCTTGCAATCAAGTGTCCTCCTTTTCAGAGTCTGGTCAGTACCGTGGTTCTGGCATTTTTGTTCTTTGTGTTGTTGATCTCACTGTTTAAAATGGCCCTTAAGCCTGGCTGGTGTGACTCAGTGGCTGAGCATCGGCCCATGCACCAAGAGGTCACTGGTTCAATCCCGGTCAGGGCACATGCCCAGGTTGTGGCCCAATCCCCAGTAGGGGGCACGCAGAAGGCAGCCAATGGATGTTCTCTCTCATCGATGTTTCTATCTCTCTCCCTTTCTCTCTAAAATCAATAAAGAAAAAAGCATTTTTAAATAAATAAATAAAATGGCCCTCAAGCATAATGCTACAGTGCTGACCACAGGTCCGAAGCTCAAGACTGTGACGCGCCCTTATGGAGGAGAAATTACCTGCGTTCCATACGCTGCCTTAGGGAATGTGTTACAGTACTGTTGCTATGAGTTCAAGGCTAATGAATCAGAAACGTAGACATTAAATCAGGTTCCTTTCAGCAGAAACACACATAAAACATGTTTCTGACCCATTGATGAAGATGTGGCCAGAAGTATACAGGAACCTGGTCCCGAGTGTCCCCCAGAAGCAGTGGCTCAGCATTCCCTGACTTGGTGTTCACGGTGACTCCGTAGAACAAAGTACTGCCAACGGCAAGGACTGACCGTATCTGTCACAGCCTACCATATGCCCAGCCCCTTTTCAGACATGATGGAGAAATACAACAGTCTAGCCATTTTCCTACCCTCAAGGAACATGACTAAACTCAATGTCAGGAATAATGAGGCAACCCAACCTCGCGTGTCTCCTGGTGGGAAGCGATGTGAAGTCCCTAACAGCACGGGCTCCTGCCAAACATGTTTGACTTGAATCTCATCAGACCTCTGGGCCTAATTTCCAGGCTTCAGAGGATATCACTAATGGGAGAACGAATGTTTGACACCGCAGTAAAATAATTTCACAAACCGGTCTCTAGACGTTCCACCAGACAACCGGTGGATCGCTTTAAAAAGTCAATAGCCGAGCCCTGGCCGGTTTGGCTCAGCGGTTAAAGCGTTGGCCCGACTGAAGGGTCATGGATTTAATTCCCGGTCAAGGGCATGTACCTGGGTTGCAGGTTTGATCCCCAAGGTCATGCAGGAGGCGACCAAGTGATGTGTCTCACATCAATGTTTCTCTCTCTCTCTCTCTCTCTCTCTCTCTCTCTCTCCACCGCTCTTTTCTTCCTTCCCTTCCATTCTATCTAAAAATCAGTGGAAACTATCCTCGGGTAAGGACTAATAACAACAAAAGGTCAATATTCATGGGACATTTGGATAGAAGGGGATACTGTACATTAAAAGAGACTAAAGAGGTGTAAACAAATGAAATACATGGCCCTTGATTGGATCCCAGTTCAAACAAGCTAACTTACCACACATTTGGGGGCTAATTAGAGAAATTTAATATTGACTGGTTGTGAGATGCTGTTAGGGATTATTGTTCACTTTCTTGATTATGGCCATGTGGGGAGATGTGATTCTTTTTTCCCAGTTTTATTGAGATACAATTGACATAAAACATAGTATTCATTCAAGGTGTGTGACGTAATGGTTTGCCGTGTATACGTCTTGTGAAATGATCACCACAGTACATTTAGTTAACACCCAGCACCTCACATACAACATTTCTCTCTTGTGATGAGAACTTTTAAAATCTACCCTCTTGTCCGGCCTGGGTGGCTCAGTGGTTGAGCATCGACCTATACACCAAGAGGTCGCCAGTTCGATTCCTGGTCAGAACACATGCCCAGGTTGTGGGCCCGGTCCCCAGTGGGGGGTGTGCAGGAGGCGACCAATCAATGTTCTCTTTCATTGATGTTTCTATCTCTCTCTCACTTCCTCTCTCTCTAAAAAATTAATAAAGGGGGGGGAAGTACCCATTGTCACGGCCTCGACAGAGGTCCTTAGGAATTAGAGTCTAAATTACGTGAAGAGGCAGGTCTTCCTGCCACCCCAACCCATCCCTGTATTCATGCAAAGGTCTCTCCACAGTGCAAATCAATTTCTTATTAAAAAACGTGGTCTCTAGCCCTGGCTGGTTTGGTTCAGTAGTTAGAGCGCCAGCCTGCGGTCCACAGAGACCCAGGTTCGGTTCCCGCTAAGGGCATGTACCTTGGCTGCAGTTTGTCCCCGGCCCTGGTTGGGTCGTGCGGGTGGCGGCCACTCGATGTGTCCCTTTCACGTCAATGTTTCTCTCTTTCTCTTCCTCTCTCTCCCTCCCGCTCTATCTGAATAAAAAATGGAAAAATGTCCTCAGGTGAGAATAAAAAATTTAAAAAAAAGAAACATGGTCTCTCTCTGCCTGCTTCCTCGGGCTCATCTGCTCCTCCAGTCTGCCACACCCTGTGCCCCTTACCTCTGTGCCTTTGCACGTGCTCTTCCCAGCCCTGGGAAGGCCTCCCTCCCACTCCCCTGCCTCATCCTGATTGACAAGTCCCAGCTGTCTTCATGACCTAGCTCAAATGGCACCACCTCTACGCCATCGTCCCCGACTCTCCCCTCTGTCCCCAAGCTATCTGTACTCTTTCTGCCCCCCGATGCCCGCACAGAAGCAGCCCCCTCTTCCCTATGTAGTCACATTGCTGCTGGCACATCCTTTCTAACACCCCTGTTCAGAGCGTAAAGATGGCCACAGACTCTTTGCCGAGCCTCCCAGTGACAGGCGAGGTCTGAGCCCCGCCCTCAGCCTGTGGCTGCGGTGACCCGAGGGTGACCTGGAAGTGACGCCGTGCCAGTTCCGTGCCCGGAAATGCCCTGGGAGCTGCCGGAGGGCCGGTGGCATCCTCGAGTCACACGTGCGAGTGAGGCCCTCTGGGACCCCTCCCGTCCGCCTGCTGGGTTCCATGGACCGCCCTTCTCTGCGTGATGTGAAGAGATGGAACTAGCCAACCTGAACTCCCGTGCCTGGATTCCTCCCACAACATGGGGAGAGACAGTAAAACAGCCGTTGTTTCCAGCTACGGACGTGGGGGCAGGCTGTTACTCAGCAGTGCCCACCCAGAGCAAGGTGCCGCTCTCACGGAGCGGGCACGGTGGACGGCGCCACTGTTCTCTCGGCTTTTGCACAACGTGATGTCTGCTAAAGGGACCTGGGCCTCCGTCCCGGAACACGGCTAATCCCCTCGCACCGCCTTTCACGGTGACAAGCAGCAAGGCAGGGACAGCGCTGGCCCTGCAGTGGGACCCGTCTGGTCACACTGGCCCCGGAGCCCCACTCCCAGAGACAGGCTGTGTGGTGTCCCCATCTGAGGAGCACAGGGACAGCGTGTGCTCCCCACACCCTGCTGAGTTCAAGGGCTGGGCCAACCCCCTCCAGACCTCAGTGGCTCTGGGGCCCGCAGCTCGGGCTCCCCACCCTCGCCGGCACCCCCTTCCTGTCCCCAGGTCCTCTGGGACTGAAAGAGACAATCGCCACCTTCCTTCCCTAGAGCCCGGGCACCTGGAGCAATTGCCCAGACACAGGCTTCTCTCGAAGGGTCCCCGCCAGACTCACGGGGCCATACGGGGAGAGGGTCCAACACCTTCGGCTCCTGCCATTCCCAGTGATGCCATCAACAGGGCCGCTGTCCCACACCTAAATCACTTCGGTGACCTTCCAAGATGCCAGGCTAACTCTCTCAAACCCGTGACTGCACTGATGAGCCGCGCCATCCCTCAACCCCAGGTTCTGGTTGGCCACCATCACCTCCCATGCTGGGGTTCACCCTACCTCGTCAGCCTGAGTCACTGCCGCTGGCTCTGGGTTGAACTGTGTCCCCCAAAAGCATATATTGCAATCCTAACCCCCATACCTCAGAACGTGACCTTATTTCGAAATAGCCACTGCAGAGATAATTAGTCAAGTTGAGGTTCTACTGGAGGAGGGTGAGCCCTTACCCGGTGTAGCTGGCGTGCGTGCGAGAGAAACCGGAGAGGGGCGCCACTGCACACACAGACGCAGCCAGCGTGGGAGTCGTCCTGCCTCAGGCTGACCAGTGCCGGAGGCCATGAAGCTGGAAGAGGAGGGAGAATCTTCCGCGAGACCCTCCGAGGGACCAGACTGCCAACACCTTGACTTGCCTTCCAGCCTCGAGAATGGAGAGAATACATTTCTGTTCTCAGCCACTCAGTCTGTGGTCCTTGGTTACACCACCCTCTGCAGGCCCAGGGCCCAGCCCAGCAGGCTCTCCTCCTGGGACAGTCCACACCCACGCACGACTCTCCAGCTCCACACCTCGCCTCGGCCAGGGTGCTCTAACCCTCACCGCCCCCCAGATTCCTGCCTGTCCTCCGAGACCTACCCCTGACACCATCTTTCCTTGTCCCTGGGAGGCTGGCCTTGACTTTGACTTCGGGAGCTTGTGAATCTTCTGTGGCTTTTCCGCGTCTGTATGGAGACTCATCTGACAACATCGGGGGGTCTTCCTGTGATGCTCCCACCCCTTCCACGTGACTCTCGTGGGGCTGCTGATGCTTGTTGCCTGCCCCACGCTCTCTGGTCTCAGGCTGAGGAGGTCCCGAGACGACCCTTGGTGTCAGCCCAAAGTCGAACCCGTGTCCATGCTACCCAGGGGTGACCAGAGAGATGCCAGAATGCCCCTTTCCCAACTGACATCCAGGGCT